CAGAGAAAATCCGTCCCTTACCCAGATGTACCACCTCCTGTCAACAGCCCCTCTCAACTTTGTGTGGAAACGATCTCTCTGCATCATGAATGGCTTCTTACCTTGGATGCTTGAGGGGTACATTTGACTTGCTCAGAGACACGGCTTGTGATCAAGGGTGCCCTGTACTCTGGGTGCAAATAACTATCCACCACTATGGACAGTCTCTGCCACCCTCTCTGGAGCCGCGGTTTTTGTTTCTCATCTGAACCTCACTTGTCCTGATGGATAGAAGGGGCCCAGCTCTGTTTCCTTCTCCTAGAGAAATGAGCCTCTCCACCCACACCCTGTTCCTTTCCTCACTCTTAGGCATCTGCTTCCTCTGGTGAGCATAAGGATGAGAGCTCACCAACGTCAGCTTCCAAACTGATGGTTCCCCAGCCTGGGCCCTTTACTTGTTCAAGGTAACTGCCCCCATGCAGGGTACACAGGAGAGAAATGTGTCCCCTAAAGTCTGTGTACCGGAGATTCATGGTGGTGACAGCGAGAAGTCTTGTTACTTCAGTCATTCATGCAAAATAAGTGCAATTTTCATTTAAAAAAAAAAAACAATAGTTCTGACTATGTAAGAAATCCAAATATCTGTGTTTCAAAACAGGCATAGGATCAATTAGAGAAATATTTAAATCCTTTTGATCAAGAATTAATATCTTTTATACAAGTGCTCTTAAAAAGAAATAGGGAAAAGATGACTACCTAAGAGAAAAGATGCAGCGCATTCCCCTTAAAAGAAAAAATGCAAATGGCCAATATGTATATGGGGGGAAAGGGTTACTTACTGAATATTCAAAAATGAAATTTTAAACAATTGCGCTTTAAAAAAAAAAACTATCAAATTGCTAACAAGCACATGGGCTGCTTGGGTTGAAATTCTGGCTCCCTCACTGACTAGCTTTGTGACTTTGGGCAATTAAATTTATTAAAACTCAGTTTCGCCATCTGTAAATTGGGCATAATAATAGTACTTTCTTCTTAGGATTGGTGAAAACTGAATAAGGTGTCAATGCACAGCACTTAGTACAGTGCTTGGAGGGGATGGCACTTATCAGTGTTAGTTATTAGGGTAATAAAATGAGAATACATTGCTAGTGGGATGTATTCCCACAAGCAAGAGACCTGGCCATAGACATTACATTCTAGAATTTATCCTAAGGACATGGTCAGAGACATAGATACAAAAGCCCATAATAGCATTCTTTGGTAAAGAAAATTTTGGAACAAGTAAGAGTGGTTTAAATTATGATAAATTTATGTGATAGAATTATGCATTTATATAATAGAGTTGACTAAATTTACGTAATAGAATAGATAAGTCTATGTAATAGAGAGAGGATTTATATAATAGACTGTTTTAGGTCAGGATTTTTCAACCGTTATGCAAACTTTTTCAAAGTAAATCTTCCTCATTGGTGTAAACAAACTAAGTATATAAAAATCAAACTTTCTCTTGTTCAGGTGGTGGGTTTGGGGGTGTGTTACCTGTGGAGCTCTACAAACGAGGCCCTGTCTCCTCTCCTTGGCCCACTCTTAGGACAGCCACTGAAGGGGGTCCTGAGTCTCACAGAATGTTTTACGACGTAGGAAAATGCGGATATAATGCTATGTGTTAAAATCAGAATAAAAGTCATATACATAGTATGTCTTAATTTTATAAAACACTCTCAAATCCACACAGCCATAGAAAAATGCCCAGAAGAGAACATATAAAATAATGATGGTTGTCTCCTGGTTGGATTTTAGGGCATGTATAGTTTCTTTTTATTAGCTTTTTTTTTTCCTTTTAATTTCTCTAATGAACATATACTATGATTGTAATCAGGAAAAATAATTATTTAAAAGAAGTTTTTATTCCTTTCTTTCCCAATATTCGCTCCAACATTCAATTGGCACCACAAGCTCCAAGGTTTGTCTCTCCATAAAAAAATAAAAATAAATAAAAAATTGTAATATATCTGTATTACAAGTTATGCTTCAGTTCACGTACAGTGTTTTAATTATTATGATTATATAAATATGGTTGCCCTAAGTGGTAAATAATGATTACATTTCTTTTCCTGTGTTCTTTTGCTTTTCCTGGTGTTAATAATTATTTCATTACTGGAGAGAGGGGGCTGTGACAGGGATGGGACAGAAGAAAGGGATCCTGTTTGTCAAAGTTCTGTTTGACCTGGATGGTCATTACAAAGGTGTTTGCTATCCCCCTACAATAATCTGTATCGTTGCTCTCCAGGCCTGTTATCTGTCAGCCTAATATCTCCCCTCACCCCCTTCCCATGTTAGATCCCCTTTCTTTTGGATACACATTTTCTTTATTTACTTTTTAGTTTTAGTGAAACAAGGGCACATGTGAGATACTTTTTTTTGAGACTCTGCATTTCTGAAAAATGTTTTTACTCTACTCTCATATGACTCATAGTTTGGTCGAGTAAAAAATTCACAACCAAACATTATTTTACTTCAGAATTTAGAGAATAATTTCCACTATATTCTAAATCCCGTTAGGAAGAGGTTTATACCATTTGTATTCCTAACTTCTGTCTGCTGTTAGGCTGATATTTTCAAATGTCAGGTTTATGGGCCTCAGGGTAAATCCTTCTCAGCTAGGTACAGGATGGGCTCTTTGATCTGGAGACCTCTTCCTTTGGTTCTGGAAAATTTCCCATATTCTTTCTCTGATACTTTCCTCTTCTGAGTTTTTTAATGGGCTGTTAGAACCGCTGGATTGATTCTCTAAGTTTCTTTTCTTTTCTCTATTTTCTGTCTCTTTGACTTTTTGTTTGACTTTCTGGGAAATTTTATCTTTAATTTTTTTCCGCTATCAATTTTTTAAATTACAGTAGCTTTAATGTGTCCTTTTTATTGCATCCTGTGTCATTTCATGAATGTAATATCTTCACTTATTTTGAAGAATTATGGTGTCTTATACAACTTCTCTCTATACACCATCTCTAATTTAATTGAATTCCTCTTTATCTGTTTACTTGTTTTGGTCTTTCTTTCATGTTGGTGCTTTTTCTGATGTTCATGCCCATTCCTATTTAAGAGTGAAGCTCTGTGTAGTTGGGCATGGCTTGTTAATGAGTGTACTTCTCTGTACGACTATTACATGGATGACTAGCTGGCTTATTCTTTCAGAATCTGTAGCCTTGATTTGTTTCTTTAAAGAATCATCTTCCAATCTCCTGCCTGGAGTAGGCGAGGGAGAAACCTAGGTGTCAGAGTCTTGAGTTAGCTGGAAAAGGCAACCGCTGAGTCCCATCGATAATCATATAGTCCATTGAAAATCATATAGTCCTTAGTTGTCCAAACAAACTATTACCATACACCTGCTTCTGTGCCTGGTATCCCCATGTCCAGGGCCTCTCAGGTTCAGTGTCTCAAGGAAACATACTGACCCTTGTAGAGACAGAGGAATGGTGACCTAGCTGCAAGAATTGGGAGTAAAGACAACGTGATGGTCTAGCTGAAGTTTACACACAGATTTTCAACCAACCCCTCTTTCACACTCCCACCTTAACCCTACCTTCCCTAATACTTGGTTCTTCTAATTATTGATTCTTGCGACATTGCTCGGGTACTTAGGTTTGACTCACATCCACTCTACCAGGTGATTGCTGTTCCTCCATCTGCTTTCCATCTTCATGTATTAGGATTTGAAATTACAGATACTCCCTGTTTTTATTGAAAACAGTGACAGAGCTCTTTTTTCTTTCTTTCTTTTTTTTTTATAGTGTCGTTGAGAGAAATGGGAACAAATGTCTTCACATCAGCATTTAAATCTCTAAGTCTGCCTTGGTTTTAATATAACTGTGATTATAATTTTGGTTTCTTGAATCCTCTAAATTTTCTGCAATAAACATGTATCACTTTAATAATATGAACACACACGGGTACACACATACAAAGTTGTTTAAAGATAAGAGGGCCCAAGAAGGCCTGGGGCACCCAGCTCTGCATCTTCTACCCCCTTTTGCTGAGCCAGCTGGGCCCATGAAGCCCCTTTATCTTTCACACCTCAGCTTCTTGACACCATGCAACCATTCACGTGGCCTCAAACACTTGCCAGAGAGCACCAAACCTTCCTTCCAAGGAGCACATTCCTAGCTTTCTCGTCTCTGGGCCAGGGGTGATTATGAAGTAGCCTTTGCCAACCATGCAAGCTAATTTTCATGCAGTATGGATTCCTTCATGCATTCTGAATGGTCATGCATCCAAAACCACAACGGTTTTTATAAAAAGAGAATTCAGTGTGTGTGTGTGTGTGTGTGTGTGTGTGTGTGTGTGTGTGCGCGTGCGCGCATGTGTGTGGTGTGTTTTGCCATGGCACTCATGGTTTTCTTCCCACTGATGACATTCCAGTCAATAGGGGCTAGGCATTACCTGGGAATTTTCCATGACTACTTCCTACAGACCTTTCTAGTCCTTTCGGTTGGACATATGAGTAGCTTTTGGGAAGCAGGCACACTGGGCCCTCAAACATTCCTGAACTTCACTGGCTCTACCAAGTTCAAGACGCCCAAATCTAAAATATCCCCAGAGGCTTCCACAAGCGCTGGACTTGTGTGGCTAACAGGAACCCAGTGAGAAATCCCAAAGCTGCAGAAATATTCCTGTGAATCCTGAGCTCTCTCTGACTGGACTCCATGTTGGCCTGAGGACACTGCTATTTCAGGACATGGGATTTCCAGGACATGGGATCCAGAAATACTCTTTTCCTCCTTCTCTACCACTAGGATCACAGGCTTTATAGCTTGACCTACAAATGGACTTTGCTGGGAATCTTATGAGAATTGATCCAGCCAATTAAGTCAGGAAATTGCTCTCTAAATTTAACATGTCCATCATTCTTATCCCAAATAACAGCATTGACTTGATGGGCTGAGGCTTCAAGGTTATTTTTATTTAATCCAGTAAAAACTGTATTGGGCTTCCCACACCTCACAGGTTTACTCATTTCTCAGTCAATTTTGATTTTATTAAACTCAGCATTGTAAAAACCTCATTTAAAAAAAAAACAAACAAACACAAACCCTCATCAACACTCCCCTGCTGGATTTACACATTCCCCCTCTGGAGCTGTTGCCTGGAAGAGCCGCTAAGGGAGCAGGCAGAAATCTCTTCTGTTGTGTTGTCTTTGGTGTACTTTGTGCTCCTACTTTCGGACTTGCTTGTCCTTCATCTCTTTTCCAAAAAGGGTTTAGGGCAACATGTGTGTATAAACATAGACTCACAAATGGAAGTATATCCTCTATTAAGGTCAAATTCTACTCGGGTCATTTCCTCCACCCTGAGAAGACCATCTGTCACCCCAGTGCATTGCTGTGATTGACTAGACCATGTCAAGAGGAGCCCACGCGCACATGCACGAAGACAAAGTTACATTTGGAGACTGGATATCATCTTTAATTAATAATGCCACAGCCCAACATCCTTTTTGTTGCTGTAGCAGGTTGTGATTGTGTGTGTATGTGTTCCTGAACAGATGAGGGGCCAGCAGAGGCTCCCAAGCAGGTCTCAGCCAACAGCTCTTTTGAGCAGCAACTGGAAGACAGTCTCCATAGTGGCACAGAGGCTGGGCTCCTGCCTCTCTTTCTTCTGGGTCACCCTTCGTGCATTCTGGAGGCAAGTCTGAGGCCTGTGCCAGCCCAGATTAAAGGGCTTCTCAGCAAAGATCAGTCTTCAGTCCCCCAGCCCTCACTGTCTCTGACTAGAGGGATGTCCCTGGGCAAAGTACACACAGCTAGGTACGGGTGGAGAACCTAGTTTGGTCTTGGTCCCTCTGTCACACTGGGGGAGCACCACAATGGCCCAGCCCTGGGCAAAGAATCCAGAGCTGCTGGGGCCATCTGATTAGTTCCTTTCAGAGATAATCAGAATGTAGCTCAGGCCCTTCCCGGGGCCAGTCAGAAAGAAGCAGACTTGGCCCGTGATGGCCACACAGTTGTCGTTTCCCACCCAAACCTAAAAGCCTGCTTTCCTGCCATCTCCATTGTCCAATTCCTCACATGCCCAGTAGGTCCATAGCCCAGACATGGCAGGGAAGGTTAGCATGATGGTGAGTTGAAAGGAGGCCATGAAGAGACCTAGGCTGAGCTAGGAACTGCAGCCATGTGCCAGCCTGAAGCCAGCCCTCTCCCCCATGGTCACCGCCAGCCAGAGCTCTTTGAAGCCAGATGGGATCCCCACAAGGCAAGGCAGCAAGTTCTTGGCCAAGTGCAGAAGGAGAAAACCAAACTGGCTCTATGGTCCCATCTCCACCTGCTCTGTGCCTTAGGAAGGCAAGGAGCCCAAGTCCTCGAGACAGTGGTATCAGCTGTTGGGGAAGCACCGTTGTCCAGGTGATGCCTCAGGCCGGAAGCTGTGTTTGTTGAGTGGGCTGGGGTAGTACGTGGTCGTGTACACATTGGTCTGCTGCAACGGGTAGAAGCTAGCTTTGTCATCAGGGATCAGGTTATTCTTGTTCAGAGTCTGGGAGAGGGAAGAAACCAGAGAAGAAAGGGTGAACGGAGAGATGGGGAGAGGGGACAGGCCAGGGCAAGGAGATCAGGAGCCAGGCAACGAAAGAATATTCTAACTGCTGACAGTGTTCTGTTCACAGCACCACTGCTTCCTCCCGAGTACTCAGCCCAGTATGCCCCGCTTAGGGCCAGAACCAATCCACCTGTCACCCTGCTCTCCATTTCTACAGAAGGGCTCTCACCTTGAACTCCATGGGTGTGTACTTCTCATTCTTGGGGGTGCCCCCACCCTTGTAGTGCAGGTGGTTGGGGGTGGCAGGATGGACGAGTGTGGACTCCTGGGACTGGCGCTGGCAGTGCTGGCAGGACAGGTACACTGCCAAGGTCAGCAGTCCAGAGCCCAGGAAGCAGGAGATGCCCGTAGCCACCAGGTGGATGAGACTGAACCCTGGGAGAGAGAAGGGCAAGTGGTAAGGAAAGGGCCACTGTGCAGAGGAAAGCCTCCTGACTGCCTCCCAACAGGAGGCTCTGAGACATAGAGGAAGGGGCTTTGAGACCAGAGACAATGGAAATAGGGAGGCAGGGCAGCCCCTCACCAGGGGCCTCTGTCACAGGGCTGCCTGTAGCTTGGGTCAGAGGAGGCAACCAGAGGATGTGGAGTCAGGTGACTCTTGTTGATTATATACCCGATGACTGCCTCCTAAGTCGGGGGCATGGATGGAACTGCCCAGAGCCGCCTCCACATGGTCTAAAGTACTGGGGAACCTCCACAAGGTTTGTCTGTCTGGAGTAGGAGGTGGAGAGACTCCAGATTTCGTAGTAGGGGGGTCTCCTCCTTGAGGAGGAGGGATAGAAAGACAGTGTCATGAGGGAAGGGCAGGTTCCTTTTACCTCCACAGCCGGTGGCCTCCTCCACACTGGAGGCAGGCAGGATCACTGCAAGAAAGACAAGTGGGGAGGGTGTTGGGGCAGGGAGGAGAGGGGAGGGGTCCCTCTGGGGCTAGGTGTGTCTCTGGGAGGACCCCTGGGTCAGCACAGAGCTGTGGAATGGGCCTGTGGGGTGTCATTTCCCTCTGTCCCACGCAGACCCTACCTCTAAGAAGGGTAGCCCATTCACTACATGAGGCCCCAAGTGGGTGTGCCTGGTGTTTCATCCTGTACCTCCCATGATACAACTTCAGAAGGGGAAGGGAGTTGGGGGCTCAGTGGGAAGGGCTGCTGTGAAGGTTCTGGCTTGAGGACCTACCGGGAATCTCATTGTAGGGGCAGGGGCGGCTCTGGCTGCTGTTTCCAGCACAGGTGCTGGGCCCTGGGACCAGCTCCTCACAGCGCCGGCTGCGGGTCTGGGCTCCATCTTCAGTGCATGCACTCCACTCAGACCACGGCGACCAGCCTTCTGTGGGTTGTGGGTTGGGACGAGGTTAACTGCCCCAGGACCCTCTGGTGGGGATTGGAGAGTTCCAAGGTGCTCCCCAGCCCCAGCCAGATGTACTCAGTACCTGGGCAGGCTTGCGTGGCACACAGTGCCTCCTCTGTGTGCAGCCCCAGACAGATGTCCTCGCCTGGGGAGGGCGCGGGGCTGGTGCAAGAACGGGTGCGTTGATAATGGCCACCACCACAGGAGGCTGAGCATGTGGACCACGAGGTCCAGCAGGACCAGGCACCACGTACTGCAAGGGGATGGGATATGTGAGGGGGTCTGTAGTGTAGGGCCGGAGACAGTCTTCTACCCCATCCCAGGCAAGGCCCCTCTGTCCTGGGCCACACTGACCTCAATGCCCTCCCTCCCCGCCCCTCATAGCTCAGTCTTAGGGAGTGGCCTTCCCCTTCAGGGTGATAGGAGGGAAATACAGGCTGCAGAGGAGTCATCAAAAACCACCTCAAAACTGGCTAAACTCACTAGAGAGAAAAAAGTGACAGAGAGGGGGAGGAAAGGCCCTGCTCCGTGGAAGTAGCTGCTGTGTCCATGTTTAGGGCAAGATATTGCTCTGGGGGCCCCTTATACAGAGTTGGCAGGGAGAAGAGGTCACCTGAGCATAAAGCGTGTTCTGGGTAGACCTGAGGGTCTCCCAGTTGGGGGTTCTCTGGGCGGAGATTTCCCTAGGCTGGGGTTTCCCTGGGCCAAGATTCCTTAGGGCTAGGTTACCTGGACAAGCCTGGGGGTTGCAGTCCTGGTACTCGGCGGCGTCGCCCACGCAGGGCAGACCCCCGTTGCGCGGCTCGGGGTTCGTGCATGTCCTCTTGCGGACGCGGAAGCCCAGCTCACAGTCCCGGGAGCAGGACGACCACGGCCCCCAGGCTGCCCAGCCCCCGCTCACCGTGTGCGGGCCGGTGCCCCCGCTGCGCAAGAGATCCTCCACCAGGGCTGGGGGTGGGGGGACTGGCCTCAGTGACAAGGGCTTCTTCCAAACCCTGTGTTGCGCCCAACCTGAGCTCCCGCTCCCGGCCACCCCCTCCCTTGCCCCATCGCTCTGGGCCTGGGAGGGAGGGTGGCGGGTGGTGAAGGCGTGAGACTATACCGTCGGTGTCGCAGGTTCCGGAGCCGTCCGCAGGGCAAGTTCGGGTCTCCATCCTCCTCCTGCCAAACTGCAGGCCGTGGGGGTCGGGCAGGGGCGCGCGGCACGTGAAGCGGAATCGCTGCTCCTGTCGCGCCCCGCCCTGAGTCACGTTCACCGGCAGCCACGGCGTCCACGGTGTGTTGCGCCGCACTTCGGGGCAGCCCTCGGGGTTGCAGGTCTTGAACTCCTGCGGGATGGGAGGTGGGCTGTTGCATAGCATCGCAGCCTCCAGATCTGGCCCGGCCTGCCCTCCCCTTGGCTACAGGTCCGGAGACCCGGTCCCGCCCGCGTTCGGCCCGCGCCCTCACCACGCTGCAGCCAGGGCAGGAGTTGCCGTTCTCACAGGCCCGACGCCGCGATTGCACGCCGCCCCCGCAGTTGCTGCTGCACTTATTCCAGGAGCCCCAGGATGCCCAGAAGATAGGCACCGGGCAAGGCGTGTTTTCGTTACAGAACCTGAGGGGTATGAAGGGAGGGAGATCATCGTTCTAGGGAGCAGACACCCTCTTCCCTTAATGAGAGCCCACTGGGAATGCAACTGGGAAGGATGAGAGTCCATTGGATCACCCAGAAAAATACTGGTCACTTTCTGGGACCTCAGGACTAGCTAGCTTCTCTCTGTCTTAGAAATCCCCAGCCACAGCCTAGCTCACCGCTCCTCCCGACTCTTGCCCACGCAGATGCGGCCCCCGTGGCGGGGAGCAGGGTTGCTGCAACTTCGCTGGCGGACCTGGAATCCCATCCCACAGGTCGTGCTGCACAGGGCCCACGACGACCACGCGGTCCACGCCCCATTCCTGGTGGGGTCGGAGGGGACAAACAGATGACTTCTGAGCCCTAGCTTCTCAGATCTAGTCTACATCTGGGCAGATGGATTTTGTTGTTGTCAAGAAGTGCCAGACAGTGACACAGAAAATATTAGCTCCTCACCAGGCCATTTCAGGCAGACATCTCATTCGTTCATTTGTTCATTCATTCTTTAACATATATTGAGAGCTTTCTTGCACAGATGGGGCTGTGCTCAGGACTAAAAGTACAGACATAGAACATGGCCTCTACTCACAGAGGGAAAAGACACATTCTCTAGAGAAGGCCCCAGTCGCCTTTCCAATCTACAACCTTCCTTTCAACCCTTGCAGTCAAATCCATGCTCTCTCCCCTCTTCTACCACTGCACATGCCTTGCTCCAACCTCAGATAGCACTCACTCTTGTCTACTTTGACTCCTATTTTCAAATGTTCGCTCTACCATTTACTGGCTGGATAAGCCTGGGCAAGTTACTGAAATTCTCTGTGCCTCACAGTACTATTATCTTTAAAGTAAGGATAATGATTGAGTTTGTCGTGACAGTTAAATTAATAAATTTATATAGAATTAAGTTATTTTAAGAGTGTCCAGAGTTGTAGGTTAGTTGTTATAACCACTTTGAGGAGTCCCCAGGTATTAGGCAGTGTGCAAGCACTTTATACACATTATCTCATTTAACCCTACCAACAACCCTCTGGTGGGGACTGCAACCCTCACTTAGAGAAGCTCAGAGTGATTAGGCGGCTTGACCAAGGTCCTACCTCCAGAGAGTGGCAATCCAGGATGGGCACCAGGTCTGCCTGCCTCATTAGCATCCCATGCTGTCCCTGGTATTTGGGACAGTAAGGCTTATTAATGCTAAGGTCTGTCTAGGGGTGATTCCAATGCCTGTTCATCCTTCTTCTTTGTATCAAGAGCCCCCGCAAGGCAACACTTATCTCACATTAGAGTGGAAACTGCCCCAGAGCTCATGTTTCCTGTCCAGGCTCTTGCCACCCTAAAGTGGTTTCCGTCCCTTAGTGCAAACACCTGGCTGGGGATTCCCCACTCAGGTCCAAGGTAGCTGCTGTGCAAGCTCTGTATCCTCACACACCTGGAACAGTTGGCGATGTGGATGGCTGGCCCCAGGCAGTCGCGGCCACCGCAGCGGGGTCGGGGGGAATCACAGGCTCGGGCCCGACACAAGCAAGAGCCTGAGTTGTCCCCATCTAAGTGCTCACATGGTTGCCATGGTGACCACGGGCCGAAGCCCCCATCCCGAGTCACATTCCGCACCTGCAGGCAAACACCCGGCGCAGGGCCCAGTTACATAACGCAGGGGTAGGGAAGGCATTAGGTCCCAGGGGACATGGGAATACTGATGGGGAGTCACAGCCTGAATTGGGTATAGAGGTCCTGAGTGGGGGACACAGAGGGGTTCTCACAGGACATGCTGTGATGTTCTGGGTCCAGAGGCTCATGTTGGAGCTGTCCTCCAGCGTGCTGCAACGTTGCTGCTTCCCGTCCCAGCCGCAGTATGGGTCCCGTGCCCCCAGGCATGCCCTGCCAGACAGAGGTCCTGAGACTCAAGCCCACTGGCCTCCCAGCCTCACCTGCATCCCAAGAACACACCTGGCCACTCCCCGCTAGGCACCCCTTTCCATCCAATTGCCCTCCACAATAATAAGTTCATCGAACACTTATACTGTGCCAGGCATCATTTAAATGCTTTGCAAGAATAAAATAATTTAATACAACAGCCCAATGAGGAAGGTACTCTTATAATCCCCATGCGATATGGAGGAAACCCAGAGAGCTGACCAAGGGCTCAAACCCTTGCCCTCCAGAGCCCACACATGTAACCTTGCCTTCCCCAGTCTGGGACGTCCCACACTCCTCATCCAAGGCCACAGGAGAAGAGGTGGTGAACAGAAATCCAAAGAGTTGATACCTCTCTGTCAGATGCTGTGATGATAGAGTCAGAAAACACGATGGAAAGGATCATAGAAGATGACCTGGCCCAGCGGTTCTCAACCATGGCTGCACATTATAACACTAAAGGAGTTTCTAAAAGATACTTATACCTAGGCCCACCCCAGACAAGAATCTCTGGGCATGGTGAAGTTTTTTAAAACTCTTAGGTGATCCTAATGGGAGCCAGTTTGAGCATCACTGGGATCCACAATATGAAATTTTTGTTGTACAAAGGAAGAAACAGTCACAGAAAAGGGAAGAGGAGTTTCCCCAAATCCTATAAATTGTACATGGCAGCGATGGTGGTAGAATCTAGACTTCCTGACCATGCTTTCCCCTCATATTCCTGCCTCCCAGTTAGAGGGTGTGTCTGACTTCACACACTGAGGGAACATGCGCCCAGGCCTGGAAACCCAGGCACAGGGTCACTTAGGTTATCCACGTGCTTGTGTGCTCAGTGGCAGGAACCTGAAACCAAACTGTTAGCATCACTAGCTCAGGCTGACAAGGGAGGGGTCACATCCCCTGTCCCCCGTCCTGGGCCCTCAGGACTGGTCTATCTGCAGTGACTCAGAAAAGGTAATGTCCCCACACTGATGCATATCCCAGATACTTCTACTTATATTCTAGGGCTTCTCTTCTCTTTTTCTTTTTGACTTATTCATTGTATCCTTTACCATTTTTAACAACAACAGAATGAATCTCTACTAGTAAGACTTCAAGGAGGAGAAAGAGTATGGGAATTATGGATTTGTTGTCTATTGCTAAGTAAATTAAATTTAAATGCTGGAGCCTGAAGGAAGTTTCCTCCAACACCCAGAGAGCTCACTGCCAACCCCAGGGAACACATACTCTGAGTCCCTTCGGCCTCCTTTACCCAACTTCCACCCCCTGTCCAGGCTTGCGGCTCCACAGCAGTGAGCCTGCTGGAGAGAGAGTGCTGAGAACTGGGGCCAAAACTGGAGGTTAGAAAGCAGAAGAGGCTTTGGGTAAAGGAGGTGCAAAGAGGGTGGGAAATATATGCCATGATATGAGTCTGGGGAGAGAGTTTCACTGGTCAAAGGGATACACAAAAGAGTCAAAGGGTTGCCCTTTCTGATGTCTCCAGGATAGAATCTTTCTTTTCTCTTGAAGCTTCAGAGAGGGTCAGCTGTCAGGTGAGTTCTTTATTTTCAGTGAGTTCAACAGACCACCATGTCTCCTATCCAGGATCCAGAGAAAAAGAGGTTTTATGAGAAATCTTAGAGAGAAGAGGGTGGGGCTTCCCCTTGTCAGAGAAGGGTGAAGAAGACAATGCTATTCCCTGCTCGGGCAACCTATGACCTCATACAAGGGAGACAATGTTTGGGGCTTCAGTGGCTAAGGGCCTCGCTGGACCCCAGTAAACATACTCTGGCCCATGAGGGAATCCAGAACACTCATCTGGTGCTCAAGAATCTGTTTTCCACTTTATTCACTGAAGGATAATTTGTGTAAGTTGTGGAGTATAAGTAAGCTCATGTTTTCATCTGGGATCAGTGGTTCAGTTTGAGAGTGTTTCACCAACAGAATGCATCAAATTAGACATCATAGGGTGAAATATAATACACGTGCAAACGCAGCCCCAGCAATCTGTGGTTTTGAGATTCTGTTCATTAGCTAACATTTGAACGAAATTGGCTGCTAGCAAATTCAACCAATCAGAACTCAGTAAAGCTCACTCCCGAGTGTATTTCCCTCAGCTCTCAGAAAGGGGTACCAGATTCTAGAAGCAGCTGATAGTGCTCTGTTTAAGCAACATATGTTAAATTTTAAAAAGAATTAGCCATGACTAGTGATTAATAATAATATTAATAAGGTTCTACCCATAAAAAATAAATGTCAGTAGAGAAAATGGATATGAGCAGAAAAGTTGAATCAGTTTATACAAGATAAAAGCAGAAGATTCTGTAGGAATGAATTTTGCCTCATGCTACTTCTTTCATCTAGGGCCTGGCCAGTTCTAAAACAGTTGTTTCCAATCTTGACTGCAAATTAGAATCTCCTGGGGATCTTTTAAAAACGCTTAAGCAAACAGAACAAAAAATCTGCCTTTACCTGGGCCTTTGGACTGGAGTAGGCCCAGGCACTGGACTCTTTGAAGCACTCCCCAGGTGATTCTAATGAATAGCATGTTTGAGACCTGCTATTTCAAAGCCACTGTTGTCAATGTCCCAAGCAAAGAAATGAAGTGCCTTGTCTCTCCAACCCATAACAATAAGAAAAGAGAGAAGAAAAACCGCAGAATAGATGCTGACCCCAGGCCCTCCACACCCAATCAGGCTCCCTCACCCTCTCCTATTCCAAATACAAGCCAGCCCTGCCCTGGCCATGACCGCCTGAGAGGGCCTGAAGGACTTCCCTGCAGCCAGTGCCTGAGCTCTCTTGTCCACATTCGCTGCTTTTGCCAAAGGCTTCTCCGTAGCTTACAGGGCAGGGAAGAGTTAAAGTGTGTCTCTGACTGTAGGAGTGGGCAGTTTAGAGTTTCTTTCATTAAAGCAGCCATCAGACCAATAATATATCACCATGTCTTTTTTACTGCAATGTCTCAAGCAGCCATTATAGAAGGGAACAGGTTCATTCCATGGGCTCAGAGGCAGGACATAGATGGATGGTGGAAGTTGTAAGCAAGCATGTAGCAAGTCTCTAAATGGGAGCTGTCTAGGGTAGAAATGGTGTCCCAGGAGCTTGGGAGCAAGTGGCCATTACGTAAGATAGCAGCAGAGGCAGCCCAAAGCCCCCTGCTAGGGAGAGAAGTTGCACAGAGATACTCTTGAGTCTTCCTCTTGAGTGAGCTGGTGTAGAGGGGACCCCCCAACACTTTGATGCGTCCTGAAAGGCATGCTGGAAGGAGGCTTTTCAGGCATAAAACATCTGCTTTCTAGAGCCAGTCAGGATTCATTCCCTCTGCATCTCCTTCTGGGAGCCCTGGTCTCTCTCTGGCCAAGTCCTGGGCATGCTGAGATTTGCCTGAGTGAAAAGAGGGGCCTGGAGATAAGCCCCTGGATCTTGGACAGAGGAGAGGGCCCAAAGGGGCTCTGCTTATCCACCCTCATGCTCTTGCCAGCTTTAGAAGGAGTGAGGAAAAAAGCATGAAATGCCTATCTTAGGACACAATAAAACCCCGTGACCACCCACCCCACAATAACACAAATTCTGATATTGTATGATAGGCAGTTGACTCCAGGACTCTGGAATACACAGCTTGGTGGCTGCATGGGTTTACTTTGATCATTTTACTAACATTGCAATAATGAGACATCATATTTTACATTTTCACATCTGTCTATAGCTTTATGGCAGGGTTTTCATTGTATACATCAAGGGCTCTTATCTCAAACTCAGGAAGCCAAGTGGGATGAAAGTTTCAGACTCCAAAACTGACTTCTTTTTACCTTACTGTCCCAAATGGCCACACTATGCAAACTCCTTGTCCCCTCTTGTGCAGCGCCATGTGAATGGGGACATGTCCTGCCATCTTGCTTCCTCTTCTTCCACTGTAGACCCCACTACATCATATCTGGCTAGAGCCACGCTTGCTCATGCTGGTTGACCATCTGCTTTACGACAGTGGGGCCCACAACTGTCTGATTGATCTTTGTAAAACACCTATTCATGCGCCTGTTGCTCTACTCAAAGACCACTTCAGCATCCACAGTCACAGAATTCAAATCAAAATCCTTCCTTGGCATTCTCAGTTGGCCTTAATCCACTTCCAGTGCCATTCCTCAGTCCTCCCCTGCACCAACCTCCTCTTAGGCCCAATCATCAATTAACTGAAGAAGAATCAATCATGGGTAGAAAGCTGCTTTGTGCCTTGGGCTTGGCGTGGCCCCTGATAGAATATAAAAACTACTGGGACACTAAGTTCGCCTTCTAGGATTTACACCCTCTTAATGAAGAAGGCATATGTGAAAGTTTAATAACACAAGGTTATTAAACTGGAGGAATGCATCAGTAGGTAATCTGTGATTCATCGCCAGGCAGTGCTCTCTGTATCCAAGGTTACAGATTCTAGACTCCAGAGAGCCCGGGAGGCTGGAGGGCCCTTAAATGCATTTGTGGAGGTTAAAAAAGGAATAAGGACAAGACAACATCGCTTATGACTCGCTGAACCAGGCACTTCATGAATATTATTCCCAGTCCTTACAATGACTCAGCCAAAATGAAATACCATTGGCTCTATCAGAATTTCCCACGTAGAAAGCTGAAGCTCAAAAAGTTAAGTAACTTGCTCAAGATCGTATAGCTGGTAGATGGTGGAGTTGAGACAGAACCCCAGGTGTGTCTAATTCCAACAATCAAGTCCCTCCCGCTATGCCCCTGTCTCTGCTCACACATCAGATACAGGCCAATGTGTCTCTCCCTGACCATGCACCCAGAGCTCTCAGGGAAATGAGAATGTTCTAGGCCTATTTCATCGTGCCTCCCTCCTCTTACACTGACAGCCCTGCAAAGTGCTCTGAGCATGGTAGGGCTGAGTGAATATTTGGTGTTTTGCTGATAGAGTCATGTGTTGGGGCTGATGAGAGCTTGAGTGTCTGTCCACTGTCCTCCCCACCTCTCCCTGGCTGCCATATCAAGACCACCCAGCCTCTTACCCTGCCCTCCAGGCCTCTGCCCAGCTCCCAGCACACCCTACTGGGGCTGGAGAACCACTCTCGGCAGCATGGATACCATTCTTCTCCCAACTCTCAAGTACAGATGGGCACAGCCAGGAGTTCTCTGTGGTACAGAGGCCACAGGAGTCCATGTGGTTGTGACTATGCCAGATAAAGGCAGCTTTTGATTAGCTCGAGAATGAGGAGGTGCAGCTTGGAGGAGGCCCACATGGTCAGAGTCTGAGCTACATTTCCCTTTGGCATTGGAATAAGCTTTCGTTTCCCCCTTAAATGCCAGTGTCACTGTTGTCAAATTTGTGAAGCCACTTGAAGCTAAGGTATGCAGAAGTGATCTCGGAAGCAGTTGGGAAGGGAATCTAACATCTCCACATGGTTCCTCACCTCCATCCAACCAAGCCAGGCCTCTCTGCATCTTCTAAGGAAGGAAGAAAGGAAGAGGAGCAAAGATGGGGGGAGGGGCAACAAGTGCTGTGTCTCCAAAGCTAAAGACCACTCTCTGAACAGAAGGGACTGAAAAGAAATCAAGTGTGCTAGAATGGCCCATAGGCCCTAACCGTGGGGCTGACAACAGGGATAACATCCACGACATCCTTTGCTAAATATATCCTTTCCCCAGAAAGTGATGTGTTTTATGCAGATTATTCCAGATAATCGTCACAAAAACCTTGAAGAGGTTTTGTGAGGAGGAAACCAAGGTTCAGAGAGATTAAGTGACTAGTCCAAAGGCACACAGCTGGAAACTGTGCCAGGATGCCACCCCAGGTCCACAGTCCCGCCTCTTAAGCCCCACCTCCCAAGCGCGATTGGCGGAGATAAGCCTTGAAGGCCCGCCCTCCGAACGTCTTACCCTTGGCTCCGGTAGGCGGTGCACCTCTCCAGCGGGAGGCGCAGCACGCCGTCGCTCAGCCCCACGAA